CGGGAAAAATCCCCAAAAATCCCCAACGCTCCTCCTTGCAGGCTGTAACCGAGGGGTTTCCCGGTAGCGTCGCCGAATGCAGCGGGAAGGAACCGCGACCGTCCCCGGGGTTCACGGTGCGAAGCATCACGGCGGAATTTAGGGAAAAAAAAAACGTGATCCAGGCGTGGGGAATGACCATTTCAGACATTTTTTAAAGAAAAGTTTTGTAAAAATACGTTATTGCCTTGAGCCCACCGATTTCATGCTAACAAAACAGATTTTGTAACCTGTTCATCCAGCATCTTGATACTGGGGACAAGATGGTCAGATCTGGGTTCCGGAGATGTCACTCCGTTACGCACGTCTGTGTTCCTTAAGGCGTTTGACGTTGTTCCCAAGCCAAAGCAAATCGCCAGATTCTGGATGGCTGATGTCTGCCCTGGGGATGAGTTTCGTCAAGCCGTCAGTAAGCTCTTTTCTAGGTAATGGATGCCCCAAAAGACCTTTCTGCACAGGAATTTTGAAATCTAGCATTTAATCTACAGATCTACATAAAAAATAATAAAAGTCTCACTGGTTACAGTGATAGCTCCGTATCAAAGTTCCCAGCCTTAAAAATGTCACCAAATAGTTCAAAACAATCATTTTAAAGCCTGACCATTCACAAGAACCATTTTTAGGCTAAATATATGTTTTGTTCCCATATTTTGGGACACAGCAATTTAAATAGGTTTGGGGAACCTGATGTGAATTTACTATTAACTTGAAATTTTTATTAGTAGATCTTAATTTACCAGGAAGCAGGTTCTGTTGATAAGCAGCATGGTTACCCCCAAGCCTCAGTTATACCAAATAACAATTAACCCTGAGTGATGCAAACACCTCTAGGGAAGAGGACAGACTATTAACTTCATCAGGTTCCTCCTGTTATGCCAAGCAGAACCAGAATTAAAGTGCAAGACTCTAAAACAAACAGAGAATCTAATGCGACCACTAAGATCTGCTGTGATACTCCATTTTAGTGAATGTTAATAAAATTGAATGTGTAACTTAAGTCTACACCCCTAAAATCTGTTATGTTGTACAGGTAGAGAATCCCCTTTGCTTCAGCACAACTGTTAATAATTCAGTTTTAATTAAACTGTCAGTTTCTGATATCATAGTTTTCCTGTTCTTCACATAATTTTAGGTATTCTACAGAAATGTGTTTTCATTTATATCAGAAAGATTCTGTATTAGATGTCCCACATCCGTTCAAAGCACAGGCAGTGCCAATATGAAGGCATGCCTGACTGTTGAAGACCCGTTATTCATGTGGTGTCGAGCGTTAGCAAAGTGTGTAGCACATCGGAAATATTCATTACAATGAGACACAATTACAGTAGGCATAACTTAATTTTTCGGCTGCATATTTTAGTAATAGTTATTCATAGTAATCATTCCTGTAGACTGTGTACCCAGACTATATTTCTTACAGGGTTTTTCTGAGTACACCCTGATTTTCAGGAAGTTGTGCACGCCTATAAAATTCACAATCAACTTGTCACTGTGTGTGAGAGCAACTACCCCAACTGTCTGAATAACCAGTGTATCAGCTGGGAATCAGATGGGAAAAAGCAAGTGACCCGAACACTCATAGGACTACAGGCATCACCCAAATCATACAAACAGCTCAACTGAATTGCGGTTTTACTGGAAGGTCTAGAAACTACACAGTCTTCATCTGCAACAAATGCCTCTGCCGTAATTCCTTAAGGGTGTTACTAACTGGAGTGAAACAGGGAAGGACAAACAGTACATTCATGATATATTAACATGCAGCGCTGCAGCTCAACAGTAATACCAGATTCAAAACCTGTTGTGCAAAGAACAATGCACATACAGTACGTTTTTGGCCCCTTGATGCCAAAAACTCCAAAAACTAGGCAAAAGAGATGCAGGCCATACATGAGATGAGATGTAAAATGGTACAGAACAACGGTACATGAAAGATAGTATTACAGCTCATTATCAACTTAATTATTAAATTAACTGCAAGAAAGCACAGATGAAGGTTAAATTGGATAAAGACTAGGTGGTGATGTACTGAATTCTTATCTCCCTGTCAGAGTGGAGCCCACACAAACATTTCCAATAGGTGCTGCTTATGTTCTGGTTTTGTGCTTGTGAGGCAAAGCTGCACCAGGGCACTCACTGCAGATTAAGGGTGACCTAAGTTAATTTATGGCAAGCTAGCCACTGAGCACTCGCTGGAATAGATCTCACATTAATTTCCCCAGACAGAGAACTAATGTGTCAAACTATTCCAAGTAGAATTGAGCACCAGTACAGTGATCTTTGCAGGCAGAGAGTAACACCAGAGCAAGAACCAGCCCTGCTGCACTTACATTATGCTGCTGCTATTCAGAATATCTTTCCTTCTACTGGGGAAAAAGGAAAAAAAAAAAAAAAAGGGAAAAATTATGTCAGCATTTCATTTCCCAGCAAGAGAAAGTACACTACTGATAATGTTACCAGGCGTTTCTGGTAGAACTGGAGGAATTTTGCTGGGTAGCTATCACTCTCTAGTTCTCCAGTCCGTGTATTCTAGACTTCTGTTGTGCTTGAAGATGGAAAAACCCCACTGCTATGGCCAGGTCTTATTATAGCTGCCATTTGCCCTTTCTGTTTATATTTCCCCCTTCTTCACTTTCCCAGGTGAAGTGCCCAAGAGCTTCTCACACATGACGCAACAGAAAATGCCACCAAATTTTTTTCTTCTTTCTCATACTTGCTCTTTCAGAAAGAACAATGAGGAAAATTATTCTGTACACAAATGACATTACAATAAAGTATCTTCAAAGTCCTTATAGATAGGTTTATTTCACCCCACATGGCACCTACCACCACTCAGCTTACTTTAGGAAAGAAAAAACACACATTTACCATTTCACCCTTACCCTCTTTCTTTGTCAGATAAATCATAAGTATTATTACACTAGTGTTTCTCGGCTTCAAGATCAAATTAGCAACGTCACTGCTCTCAAAAAAAGGAACAAAACCACAGGAATCAATGGGTGATCTCGTATGATACTACTAGTGGGCAATTAGCAAAGAGAAACAGAAGGATGAACGTGATCATACTTTCACTAGGTAAACGAAGTTTATCTGTAAAATAGATTTATTGCGAAATGTAGTCCAAAGTATCAATAGAAATTGTGTGTGCCATTTGGTCTTTCATTCATTAAGCACATTGATCTTTGAAAACATGATTCCCACTAATGAGCTGTGTTAAGTGGCTCTTGGGTTTTTATTTTGTTGCTATTCTAGTGAAAGATCTGGACTCACAGAAGCTGATGAAAAAAAGAAAAGCTTCAGTGCTTCTCCACTCAGATATCAGCTTCTCAACCTAATCTTCAGGACAATTCTCTATTTATTTATTTATTTTAAAGATTACAGGCATCACCAAATCCTATTTAAGAGCTTGCCTGAAATAGATTTTGTCATCACAAATGGAAGAAGGATCGAGGCAGAGTTTCCAGTTAGGGAACTGCACTGTAAAGTACTCTTAAAAAGTATTCTGAAGAGTACCAAAAAAAAGACTGCACCACTTCCAACCACTCCAGTATTTAATTCAAATAACGCATTATTTACTTGTTCTAAGAAAGCAGACAGCATGTCAAAAGATGCGGAAACAATTGCTTAGTTTTTCTTGGAAATTGCACTGAAAACAGTTGTGGCTAATTTTGTCAGTTTAAATGGGTCCATACAGGTATTGAAAAATAAGTATAATTATTCTATCTAATTAATCTTTCAAAATAGATCACAAAATATAGCTTTCTTCCAAAAACAGGTGCACGTACTAATTTCAGGATTGAGTGTCAACAATGGTTCTTACAACAAACCGTAGAATTCTTTGTAGAAGAGGCATCCTTTTTCCAGAAGGTTTCAAGACAGTATATTTGGCTCAATACATTTTCTTTTTTTAAAAGTCTTTTGTTGCAGAACAGAAAAGTCATTTAAAAATAAGTTGAATCCAGCAGACACCCAGAGAAGCAGCTCCATCACTGCATAAACCAACATACGTTTTAATATCAAATCTTCTGAATTCACAGACTTGTTCAAGACTTCCTGCAGCTTGATGGAAAATGAACAGCTCCTGTGGGCTAATGAGGCAACTTGGTTAGCACAGTACTAGTTGACTTGCTGAACTGAAAGGCAAGTTACACTTTCTTTCACTTCAATGTGAGTTTTCCTTCGATAGTCATAACTTGACTTCACCTTTGTACCAGAGTAGGTGAAAGAAATATGTAGCTTGTATTTTTGGCAGCGCTCCTTTTCAAAAATCACACAGCACGCATTGATTGCACTGAACAAAAATCAAGGCAATGCTTTGTAAATCCCTGGAAATGTTCCACTCTGAATTTCTAAAGCCGCTTGCTTTGGGCATGATGAACAAATTGTCTTACAACACTCTACACTGTATGTACAGTTGGCAGAAAGGATTTTTAATCTTCTCAGTGGAAAATTGTCGTTTCATCATTTTAGCGCCAATAAAAATACTAGAACTCCAATTATTATGTGATAGGCAATTTCCAATTTCAACCATTCAGTGTTTTGCAAGGAAAAAAAAACCCAAAAAAACAAGAGATGAAAGAGAAGCTGCTAAACACAAAGAAATAAATGCTACTCAGCACAAGGTAGGGAATATAGCAGCCTTGAATACATAATACTCCACACACACCGATTCTTCATTACTTAACAATCATAACAAAACTAAGCCAGAACAGTCTGGCCACAGTAGTTTTCTTTTAGGGGTCAAAAATTAAGATGTGAGTGATCATTTATTAGATTTTTTTTTTTTCCACATTGTTTGCCTTGCTGGGAATGAGTATGGTGTAGGTTTGTTTAGTTTTTCACCAACCACAGGCTGAGCACTGGTGATGTGAAAGATGTATTCCGTCAACTTTCAACCGAGTGTCCCTATTGAGATGCAGCTGTCCAACTACAGTACGGCTCACTTCTCTGAGTTTTTGCGAGCGTTAATTAGGTTCTGTCGTATAGCCTGGTTCCTGGCCCTGTTTTCTTCATACTGGAAGACAGATAAGGAAATTAATAAATCAGCTGTTATCATTAAATAGATAAGTCAAATTTAAAAGTGCAGAGAGCATTTACTACTCAGGAACAGAAACAATATCTTTGACTGATGCATTAGAAATGCAGTTCCTTGTTAATATCTATATATTGGTTCATTTTTACTTTGAAATTAACATTTATTTGATTAAAATATGTGTTTCTAAGTTTGAGGTTATTAAGCTAAAGAGTATTAGAACATTATAAGAAAGACGATTCAGTTAATCTTGTGGAGGAACTTAATTACATAGCCATTTTATGTGTGACAGCTACACTTTACAACCAGGAAAAAAGTTGCACGGGTGCTATTCCAGAGCACAGGTCAGGCTCTTTTCCTTTTAAAAGATACTGATTAATGTAAGTGCGTCTGCCTTCTGAAACATGATTTTGTCATTACAGACTTGGCCTATTTTTGATCGTGGTCATTAATTATATGCACAGATAAAGTAGTATACCAAGATGAAAGGAACAAAGGCAAATTTGGGTTGAATGAGGATAAGGCATTCTGGGGGTTTTTAAATGGGTTAAAAAAACCCCATGCAACAGAGACTGGACTCCAGCGTAAAAGAGAATCAAGAAAGTATCAGTTTAGATACATGCGTAAGACGACCATACTGTCAGGTATGCCCCTGTACTCGCAAAAGCCTGAACACTGAGGAGCCTAACTTTCTTTCATTACAGCCAAAAAGGAAAGCTTCTCATGGCTAAAAGAAATTAAAAAGTAAAAATCAATGCATGATTTGGTGTATATTTCATGAGAAGCAAACTATTCTTGGCCTTAATTTAGAGCATATATTTGTTCAAGTTTTTTAATACTTGATATCAAGAATAAAACCCAGTAACACTACTAAGGAGACTGATTTTGGAAAGGATTTGCAGTTTTTCCCTCATTGTACTGGTTGGTTTGTAACTGAAATAATGGCCCGAAACTTTACTTAGCATTTACAGAATGCTTAACCTTTTCTCATGCCAATATTTAATTTTTCAATAACCCATCCATGTTTTTACATAGAATAAGAACCGCGGATCTTTAAAAGCTGCATCTGTACCTATTCTATACTTGTGAAGAGCTTAAAAGGTGTGTGTTCATACTCAGTTCATGCTCTTCTGAAAATGTATACATTAGCTAATCTACTTAAACTCCTAGAATCTTCCATTCATCTGCAGATGTAGCATGACAATGAACAGGTGCTAAGCAGCAATATTTTCACTTAGGGCCTAACTCAGCAACCATCAAGTAGTTTCAGTCAGCATAACTGACTTCAATAATAAGTGTTACTCATGCAGAAGTGACCATTACTGCTTTATATTCTATTCTGTGCGAATACCACTTCTAAAAAAAATTAAAAATAAATCAGAAGCAATCTGTGAAGTGTCAGTTCCTATTTGCAGAATTTGTTTGGTTAAACTGTGTTTCCCTATTTTTGTATATCCAAAAGTAGAACACGCCATTTGTTAAAGCCAGATTTTACCTGACAAATGTATCAAAAAAAGTTTAAACTTGATCTCAAATGCCCACTCCAGAATGTGCGTACATTACAAGGCCTATTTATTGATTTGTTCTACTTAGTAAAAAGCAACCCTATTTCTATCTCATGGATTTATTTTTTTTTTAATTAAGAACTTAACTCATAGTAAGTTTGTTTCTTACCTCTTTCTTTAAGCACTTCCGCATCTCACGGTCAATATCATTGCAGTGGCCGAAAAATTTCAAAATGTTGTGCTGATATGTTATGGAGAGAAGAAAAAATTACAATTCAAAGGTTTCTTCCTCTGAAGCTCTTCTTAGAAGTCACTTGCATTTTGCAACATCTTATGGTCTTCTTTTCCTTTTCTGTTTTTGTGAAAAATTATGCTTTTTAACTTTTTTACTGAGTAGCTAGAAGTTAAAGCTACTCCTGAACCACATTGGAACCAACTCCACCTTGCTGAAAGTTGAAGGTACTCACCATGTTATATAACCAGACTAAACCAGGATAGCTAAGCTGAAGCTATGAAGTCTAAATGTAGAACATACATTTTATTGATCTAGGAATCAGTCTTACAGCTTTCACTCACACTAGCTGGAATAACCTACAAAAAATAAATATTCTGAACTCCAGCTTGTGTAGCTGTAGGGAGATCTACAGGCATCCTGGAGGCAACATCCTCTGTGCTGTAGTTTTCATTATTTCTTTATGACCTAGAGAAGCAAAGGACTCGATGCTTTATCATCCTAACCACATGAAGAATGTGGTGTTGGCTCAGAAGATGCGGGCACTGGGCTTAAATGACTGAAATGTTACAACCAGTATAAAAACCAGGGGATTAAGTTTCTCCAGATCTTGAGGTTAATAAATTAGATACATTTACTAGCTTTGCAGCTCAACTGGGGGCCTTATGCATACATAAGTGTTACTTAGTTTCTGAAAAACTGCAGGCATTGTCCTCTCCAAGACATTCCCCAGCTAACCTGGTGATATTCACCACAAAAATCTGTCCTTTTAGCCAAGATCTCCTGAAGCGATTTCATATTATCAGCTATGAAATCACTCTCAGAATGCATTCTTCTAAAAGGACTACTTTTCAGAGTGATGCTTGCTAACATGCCACAGAATCTCATAGCAGAATCCGACAGCAGAGCATGCAAGCAATTCAGAAGACCTGAAGGAGTGAAGGTTCTAGTAGATATTTACAGCTACACAATCAATAGAGACAATTGGACCAATCTTTTAAAGAACTAATGAATTTAGAAAAAAAAATATAATGAAGAAGAAAACAGATGAGAATGAAATCACTTCCATATTTCAGAGGAAAGCCTCTGCAAGTTTCTATAGTTGATGGGCAGCTGGATGGATTTATCCAAGTAATACAGGAACACTATTCAGAATGCAAACAGTGGACAAGATTTCAGCCAATAGAACATGATTGAAAGTAGGAGTGGGTTAATAAAGATTATGACAAACACTTAACTATAGCAATGCTATAATTAGCTTGTTTATACCTCTCTGCTTTATAAAGGCCATCAGATGACACTCTGAAGCAGTTGCATGTGATAAATCGTCACTTTACTGCAAGGTGATCTTGCTTTTACAACATTTTCATTTTCACTAATACGATTTAATTTTGTATTCTACTCCCATACGTGCATGTTAAATTTCAAGGTGAGTGCTCACATTTCAAGCTAACTCCACTCTTACTAGTGCATACAGTGAGTTGAATCTGCATTTATTTAGCCAGACTCCTAAACTGTCAACTTTTTGTTTCAGATTATGAGGACAGAAGAGTCAGTTTCTCAAAAATAGTTACTATGCCTACTACAGTGATACAATTGCAAGACAATATGCATTTCCTTCAGCTGCCACCTATAAAAATAAGTTTCTCTAGAGCACGCACTTGGCACCAGAGTGGAGTTGTTAAAAAATTAAAAATAATGACATCAAATCAGAATTCCATTAACCTCTCCTCACTAGATGCAAAACTTGATATAACAGGCAGGTTCCAGATTAGGAATAAAGTAAATCAAACTGACTTTTGTGAAAATGCACACACAGTACACCCAAATAAAAAAAAAAAAATAATGCTTTTCATCCCTCAAGAATATTAATTTAAATTGTAGATGAAAGTTCTTAGGCCATTTTGGCATTATAACAAAACAGCAGGTAGTCATTTGTAACTGATTAAGATCACTGCCTTCTTAGATTTCAGTGACTGAAATTTTAAAATAATATTTTATTGAAATTTAATTAATTGAATTTTAAATGAAGAGGCATTGTTTCCTTTCAACTGTGAAAGAAGCCATCTTTACACTTTCTGTTCTGAGACTGCTAACACAGATACCCTCTCATAGTTGAGCACAAAACTGACAAAAGTAATTCCTCTTCATGTAAACATCAATTTAAATAAAACCAAGAGAAGATAATCCTGTGCATCACTATTAGTGGTGCTCCTACTCCCTTCATAAATCAAAATGGCAATAGATTCCTTTGAATCACTTGCTGCCAAGGAATTTCAGCACACCTTTTAGTTCCAGTTCCCTCTTCAACTCAAGGTAGTCTAATAAGCTACATTATACAAAAAGCCTATGATGCTTGTATATAACATTAATTTATATAAAAAAACCCAAAAAACCAGAACAATCAACAACTACTTTCAAGTAGGAAGTGAGTATTTCTGGATTTTCTAGTCAAAGCGTAGAAAGCCTAACTATGTATGTACCAAAAAGCTGGACAAATCTGAGTGTATTTTCTTTCCTGATTGGCTTTGTTTTCACAATTATGAACAATTAATGACAACACTTTAATTTTATATTGCTGATAGAAGTTTTAGTGTCCTCTTAACTGGTAGTCATTTTATTTGGCAATCCTTTTGATACCATAGCAGTTAATAGACAAGGAGAGTCTTCTCATTTAATGCTAGCTACTGAACACTTATAGTTACATTACAACATTAAAGTTGTTTAAAAAAAAATCAACTAAAAAAAAAAAAGGAAAGTCTTTATAATCTCTCAAATTACCTTCAGCATTTCTAGGCAAATCAAAATTTTAGAACTCAGAAGAAAAGCATAAAACTCTTACACTTAATACAACTTTCAGTTATAAAGCTTGGAGGTGTTCTGTACAACATTGTATCTTAGGTTTAAAAAAAAATTTAGACAGCGCATAGGAACAGAAAGGCAATGGTATGGCAAGTACCACATATGAGACGGCATCAACAGACTCCAGCATGCTTACATTTCAAGTGCCAACAAAAACGAATTAAATGTTCCTGAACAAACCCAGTACCATATACTCACTGCAAGAGAATTTAGTATTAAAACTATACTCCCTTCGATGTTGTCATTTAAAAATAATAAGAAAGTATGGTACTGCAAAGGGCTTTTTTATATGTTAGTTTAACTACTTCAAAAAATCTGCAAAAATGTTGTTATCCCTCTTTCATGCAAAATGTCTTCTCTTACATTTCATGTATTATCAGCCTTGTTTTTCTTTCTGTAATGACTTTTGCAAATAAAAAAATCTGAATTCTGCTTAAAACAGTAAAGCTAACATATGTATCATCTTAAAATTTAGGGATAACTGCATTACAAAACAGTATAAACATCACATCTGAACATGGAGATGAAAATATTGTAACTGCATGGAATGGTGTAAACTGTTGTTTTCACATTCATATTCAACATTTAAATATGTTTTTGTCTCAGTGGAAATGATAAAATTGAACTTTTTATGCATTAATACAGAAATATATCTGTCCAGAACATCTGTTTAGAGTATACAAGAGAACTGGGCAAATGATTAACAATATTGCAACAGTGCTGCAGGTATATTAACTTTCATTGCAGTGGCCAACTCTTCTACATCTAGAGGTTTACTTCAGAGCAAATTAAAAAAAAAAAAAAAAAAAAAAAAAAAAATCTTTAAATATACATCTAGAGGTTTTTTTAAAAAAAAAAAAAAAAAAAAAAAAAAAAAAAAAAAAGCTTTTAAATGAGTGAAATGAAGTTTGTGTCTTCTTGAAGCAATGAAGAGCCTTGAGAAGCCTTTAGACAATTTGGCATTTTACATCCTTGGGTAGGTGCCTATTAAGAAGATGGAAGTCAAACAGTAATTCGCATTTAGCTCTCCAAGCACTGAATGTAAGGCACACTGCATGTCTGGATCCCCATCAACACATCTGCTTATAAATAGACTGAATCATCTGCCCAGTGGACAGCTGGAATATGGAAATGCTGTGAGTGTACAAAAAGAGGGCATTTGAAGTTGCTTTTATTATTGTTTGTTGAGGGGCACGCAGTACTAAAAGGTGAAAAAATTATTTCAGTTCTTAAAATAGGTCTGTACTTGTCAAGCTGTATCACAGGAAATTTTAAGGCATGTTTTATTACCTAATTAAATCACTGGCAAAATTTTACACACATTTGTCAGATACCTCTTCAGTGAAAACATCCTAGCCACATTTCATGGCTGTTCTGCCTAGAGGAGGTTTCTCTCTCTATGATCATATAATATTCTCACCAATTTATCTGACACTTATTTCCCCAACTCACCCACTCTTTCTCTGCTTAAAACTCCTTACCTCCTTGTGACATTTCTTGAGCAGACTGATAACTAGATTACATTCTTCAGTGTGCAGATGAGGAGACAGGTCTGGATGCATCTTTATTAGTTAGGGATAATTTTAGTAGTTCAAGGACAAGAATCTGAGAAAACTTCCACCTGCCAACATTAAAGTATGAAAGTATAACTAGAAAGTTTGAGTTAACCACTTAAAATATTACCACACATTATCATTTTAGCAAAAAATATCTTGGATCAAAATGCAACTTAATATGTATAATTTCTATTACACAGTTAAAGTAATTAAACCCAGCACATGTCTGTTCTTCTACACAGCCCAAATATTGAAAGTTAACCAGAAGTTTATATTCTTTGCTATCATGGACATAAGCATGCATTTGGGATTTTAATCTTCAGAGACTCCCTAGTAGCATAAATCTTTCTTGAACTGAAGATTATCTTTCCAGTTTCCTATTTCAGTTTTCTTCTTTCTAGCTTTAAAAAGCTAAGCATATGTAATTTTCTTTCTGCCTTATACAAAGGTAGATCAGAACAAGAAGCACAATGGTATTTCACTATGGCACTCTGAGAACTGTCATCTTTTTTTAGTTATCTACATGCTTTTTAAAAAATCCTGAGCCAAAGCTTTGATGATACTTTAAAAACCAGTACTTAGTCAATTAATCAAAACAGTAATGATTTTTAAAAATTATATCCAATTGGAATGTCCCTTCTTGCAACTTCACATTGTTGTCTCCCATCCTTTCACTATGCTCTTCTTAAAAGCATCTCGATCTGTTTTCTGCATGAATCCCCAACTCCTACAGGTAGTGGAAGACAGCACTTAGGTTTCCCTTGAGTCTTCTCTTTTGAATACTAAAGCAGCCTATCTCCCTTAACTTTGCCGCGTATGCCAGCTGTTCCACTCTCCTGACCCTCTTGGTTTCTCCTTTACTGGACTCAGTTAGACTCTGAGACTCAAATATGAACACAGAATTTCAGATGTGGCCTCAAGACTGCCAAGAAGAGGGGAATCATAAAAACTTCTCTTGACCTGCGAGCTGCACAGCCCAGTTTGCGGTTAGCCTTTGTTGCCGCAAGGGTGCCCTGCTAAAGCACGTTTTAACTTCACACCAACCAGGACCCCCACGTCTTTTTCTGCAGAGTTCTATGGGGCAGGAGCAAACTTTGTTCTAGAAATAAATCTTTATATTACTTCCTATTTTAAAATAAAATATTCCCAGAAGTAATTTTCAATATTTTTTGTTGAAAAGCATGGAAGTGTCATATGATAATGGCTGAAATAAGATGACAGTTCCATTGTGGAAGATCACTTCACCACGGAGAGAAGAAGAAAAGTCCAGTTCATGTCAGGACAAACGGGCTCATCTTGACAAAATTCTACTTGTATGACCCATACTGCCACTGAATTAAAGAGACAACTTTTTTGTTTGCTTACTTAGTATTTTGCCATTCCCTTTCTTCCCAAGGAGATCACCTTCCTATCTGTAGTACACAAGGCAAATACCACTACAACTTGTACTAAGTACCCATCACTGTTTTAACACTCCAGCTAAACAGACGAGCTAAATCAAGCGGTCAGATTTTGTAAGCGCAAAATCTCAATACTCAGTGTTGCCAGCTGTCATCTACACCGCTATTCCTAGAATACTCAAGTAATATATTGGGCTTGAAGAGGTACGTACACTAATTTACCCAATTTTTCCCATCATGTGTTCAGCTTAACAAGAGTTACAATCCCACAAGCAAACAACATTCTAAAAATCCAAACAGATTTAAAAGCCTCTTGAGACCCATGAGAATATGTTCCACATGGTATTGCAAACATATGTAGTACGTGCTTTCAAAAATCTTCCCCATACTACCTAGAAGTCTAATATTACGCTAAATACACTCTTAGCAGAGAAGTTGGAAACCATACAAGTTGCTTAAGCATTCTGTTCAACAAATTAACAAATGAACCTTTAGAAATATGACAGCAGGAGCACAACTGTAACAGCAAAGTGATTAAGAACCCTGCTGTGTTATTGCCACCAGCTTTTGATTGCATGCCACACAAAGTCAATATGTTTTAAATTTATCAGTAGATTTTTTTTAATAGCACTAGAGTTACCATTCCCTTGAGAGGGTGACCTGTGCAATGACTGCACATTACTTTAACATGTGTGAACCCAGCTGATTATTAAATCTCTTCATCATTCAGCCTCCGACTGCTCTTCCTGAAACTGTCATCTGAGCTGTCTGACTCAGAAGGAGAAAGCAAGACTAACGCTCCAGTGAAATAGGTAGCATGCACATCAGCACAGGCCAGAAAGTCAAAGGGAGCATTCCAAGGAAAGATTCTTTCTAACTAAGGTGAGTAATCACTGCTATTGTTTACAAAATTATTCTCAGATACAGTGGATAAAAGCTATCAATGCCACCAATAGATAGGTGACAGTGTATTTCATCAATTGAAAGCCTTCTAAGGACGAATGAATTTTCCAATGGCACCCCTTGCAGGACAGATGCTACAAATCAGAGGTCCTAACTGTCACATCAGTTCATAGATCGATACTCCTGAAATTCATTTTCAAATAACATTCAATATTAAAATCTTTCAAAAGCAATTACCAGATACGGTACTCAGTTCATGCAGGCTACAATGCATTAAAGTCACAAAACATCTCACAGTGATCATGGAAGGCTTAACTGGAGCCTTTAAGTACTTTTGAAGTTCATGACTGAACAGTATTATCAGTGCTCCATTTTATATTTATGTTTAGGAGTGTCAGATTAGACAGTGATCTATATATTATCAGAGAAGGCTAGAATATTTTTGGTGGACAGGAACGACTCTGATAGATGAAAGAGTTTCAAGAGTAACAAAAACATGTATGGAAAAAAAAGGGCAGGATGAGCTACGGGTTTCCTTAGTTTATTTTTAATTATGTTCTAATCTAAAATAAAGATAACAAGTTGCCACCTTACCAGATTTTAACTCCACAGGGGCAGAATTTTATATAGATGGTAGCTCATAAGGTAACCAAGTATGAAAAAATACTGGAAAAAAATTCACAGAAAAAGACTGTGAATAAGCAATATAAATTGCTCTGAGAAAATACAAACAGAAATGCTGGATAAAGAATCTCAAGGTAAACACGCAAATGCTGTAGAAGAAATATTAGCAGTAAAATAGAACAATATTAAGAAAATACAGGAATTGCTTTAGGAGGAAAATGGACTGCAAAATGCTAAGCAAACATTAATATCTGAAGTGACTATTTGGAGAGAAGTATTTAGATGAACTCTTACAGAGAAGCACTGACATATTGCACTGGGTTGCACAAAAAATGGTCTGCCCTTTAATGTGTTTTATAGGAGATTTTGAATTCTGCACAGTTTCTCCTTCTGTGTTAAAAATTACACTACATATGTATCTAAATGACTTGTCTGAAATGCCTCAAGAACTAACTGCAAATTTCTATGAACTATTAGCCTCTGAAGGTAGAAGACATGGATAAAGATGACTGAACTTTCAACTTCCTTAACCAGTTTCTAAATCTACGCTATCCTTCAGGGAAAAGAAAAAAAAAAAACTAGGAAATTGTCTGGTTCCATTAGCCTATTCTGTGTAGTTTATCTTAAAGTGGGGAAAACGGGATGTTCTAGCCTAATGGTTTCCACAATAAACTCTTTAAAAAAAAAAATCAAAAGCCTAAACTTTATGAGTTCTCTGACAATGACTGAATTTCAAATGCTAATATTTCTGTTTAGAAAAATAATACTTAGAAGCTAATTCCTTGCATAAGCAATCCTGAACCCTAAGTATGTCAAATTGCTAACGATTTCCTAACAGGAATCAACACATAAGTTATCAAGAAGAGACACACAACCCTAATCTAAAAACCTATCTATACACATTCAATATATTAAATATTTAATATTAACATGCAAAAGGAACCTACATATATTAGAGAATTCACAATAAAACTGCAGATGCATAGCAAGTAGGCAGAAACCAAAAGGCTGTCCCAGAAGAGCAAGAACACTGTATGCACTTCATTCACACTCCTGTTAGACACAAAAAAACAGGATGAAGTGCTTCTCTCCACATGCTGGTTTTTCCTCCTGACCTCCTTATGAGAAATAGCAAAAGGACTATGCCATGTGGAGAGAGAAAGGGTTTGATACATTCCCACTTCTTTCCCAAATGAAGCATGAGATCAGCGTGTCAGGAGTCCAGGGAAGTTCCTTTCTTTTCTCAGAATCTCCCATAAACTAGTTTCCTGATGCAGAAGGAAAACTAAATTAGGTTGCTTTAGTCTTGCTGATTAGCTTAATGCTTAATATTTCCATGATTAGAGGACAACAATGAAAGAAATGTTTAAATCTAGGTAATCGCTTTCCTAAGATGCTTTTTACACATTTCACTAAAACATGTTAGAAGACTATTTTATAAACTAAGTTCTGGTAATTCTTCCATTTAAGAAGTTGCACACAAAAGTAATTTTTTTTCAGGTTTCTAAAGTCAATAGTAAAAAAAAAAATACAGGAATTCACATATTGTCCAGAAAAATGACTTCTTAAAGCAAAATGCAAATTCTTGTTTACCAAACCTGAAAGATGAAAAATCACATCTGCGTGTCTACACTGCTAATCATTAAGCTCCTTAAGCAGAAACACAGAACTTTCTACTGTACTACGAGAACACACACATTTGCTGCAAACGCTCAACTAATACCCACAAGGCGGCAGCATGACCATGCAGGAGAGAACACGTACTAAAACGAGGGAAAGGTGAACAGATCTGCACATTCCTATAAAGCCACTGCATCACTCACCATGTGTAGCATTTACTTTTACACTTCGTTTCACTGCCTGCTTTGAGTATGACCATGCATTTTGATTTTAAGTTATAAGTTAGATATTATTGCTCTGTTTGGCTTTGGAGAAAAATACTTACAATCCAAACAGCTCTTTGTTTACTCAAATCACGGGTGTTTTCTGCAATATACAAAGTATCAGTATAAAAAAGGATTGAGCTCCGCACCTAACTGGTTGGTGTTACCTGAAGGTATCATTCATTTCACTTCATCA